CTGCACGCCCCCTACTGGGGATGGAGCCCACAACCCAGTTGTGAGCCCTGACCAGGAATCCAACTGTGACCTCCGGGTTCATAGTTCAATGCTCAACCACTGAGCCATGGCAGCCGGGCAATAAATTACATATTTTTAAAAAGACCTGCTGTGTTAAAGAGGTGAGGGTGGGTGAGTGAAGGGACAGGACAACAAGGATAAAACAAATAGCGGCCCAGGCTGGTGATCTGTCTGGCCCCTTCCTGCTTGGAAATGCGGCCAGGACTGTAGAAACGGAACTTGGAGTCTCCTCGGGCCTGCTCTGTCCCTTGGAGAAGTGGTGCTCAGATCCGCCCAGCTGCACGCTGCTTTCAGCTACAGGAGCTCATTCGAAGGTGGAAAAACTCAAGCCTCCCAGAGCAGTGCGCCAGAGGTGGCTTCCCGCCCAAAAAGGTGGTTACGAATGCTGAGTCAAGCCTCAGCCAGCGTCTGATGCTGCCCACGCCCAGGTATGGCTCCAGGGCACTATAAGGAGCACACACCTAGGAAACTGGAATGCACTCCCGCCATCAGCTTTGATCTGAACCCTGGGAACTCGCTGGGCCAGGAGCCGGTCCCTCTGCTCCTCGGATGCTGGGCTGACCCCATCCCGCTGTGGCCTCTTCCCTCTGTGGCCTCTTCTAATTTCAAAAGCATCCGAAGGCTCTTGGGTCTGCCTTGCCTTGGCAGGGCCAATAGGTCATTGTGGGCACAGCTCTGGTCACATCTTCCCATCAATGCCCCTGTGGGTTTGGCAGGGGGAGACCAAGTCAGGAGGAGCCTTGCATCCATCACAACAACAAAGAGATGAAGGAGAGTGTATTTGTGGATTAAACAAAAATCACAACTTATGTAAGTTATGTTGATATTTCAAAATCAGAAGCTTATGCCTGGAGCCAGAGAAGGTTCGGAAGAACTACATCAACAGAATGAATCAGTATGTTTCTTTGAGTGAATTGTTTGTCAAGGCTGTTGTGTTATTTGAATCCTGTGAGATCATATGTTTTCTCTATTTTCTGAAGAATCTTCAAGTGGAACCTCAGGAGTCTCTGGCTCACCCAGAATCATGAGTCAAGCTCAGAATCCTGCCCAGAATCTCAAGCATGGTCTTGTGGGTGTCCTCGGTGCCAAATGAGGAGAAGAAAGAGGCGCCACTCCCCAATGCTTATCAGTCTAAGACCATCGGTCGAACCTTCCTAATGCCGCGACCCTTTAATACAGTTCCTCATGTTGTGGTGACCCCCAACCATAACATTATTTTCGTTGCTACTTCATAACTGTCATTTTGCTACTGTTATGAATCAGCATTGGACCAAGAGATCTGATTGACACGTAGGAGCCAGGCTTATAAAGATCTGGGGGCTCTTTCAGGTGGAGAGAACCTTAAAGTGGGGAGGTAGGTCCTGCCAAATGAGTTATTTAAGATGTGACTATTGATTTATTTGAAGAGGCCGATCATTCATTGACCAAATATTTAAGGAGCACCCGCTATGTGCCAGTAACTGTTGAGGGTGCTTGGATGCTGTTAGGCTGGTGGAGGGAGCGAGGGTATTGTGTAACAGTCCTGGTGTCCCACGCCCTGCTGCCCCGCTCTGATCGCTGGGTGAGCGGCTCCTCTTCCTCTTGGTGCTGGCCTGTCCGCTCCCTGCTGAGTGATGGAAGAGGCCTGCCCCAGGATTTGGCCTGCGGTTCTCCTGTGATAGACACATCTCCCTGAGTCTGGCGTTCAGAATTTGGAAGTTAATTGTCCAGCAAACAGAAGTCAGTCTCCATTATCAATGTTTAAAAATATTTTTTTATTTAAAAAAAATATTTTTATTGATTTCAGAGAGGAAGGGAGATAGAAACATGAATGATGAGAAAGAATCATTAATTTGCTGCCTCCTGCCTGCCCCCAACTGGGGATGGAGCCCGAAACAGGGCCATTGGCCTGACCCGGAATCGAACTGTGGCCTCTTGGTTCATAGGTCAATGCTCAACCACTGATTTAAAAATGTATTTTTATTTTTAAAAATATATTTTTACTGATTTCAGAGAGGAAGGGAGATAGAAACATGAATGATGAGGAAGAATCATTAATTTTCTGCCTCCTGCCTGCCCCCAACTGGGGATGGAGCCCGAAACAGGGCCATTGGCCTGACCCGGAATCGAACTGTGGCCTCTTGGTTCATAGGTCAATGCTCAACCACTGAGCCACAGTAGTCAGGCTTCTTTTTTTTAATGTTTATTTATTGACTTTAGAGAGAGAAACATTGATTTCTTGTTCCACTTATTTATGCATTCATTGCTTGATTCTTGTAGGTGCCCTGACCAGGGACTGAATCTGCAAGCTTGGCTTGTCGGACAACACTCTAACAACTGAGCGACCCGGCCAGGGCCCACTTCTTCTAATGTTACCATCTTACACAATCATGGTACAAAGAAATTAACACCAGTGCAGCTCTAGCCAGTTTGGCTGTGGATAGAGCATCAGCCTGCAGACCAAAGGGTCCCAGGTTCGATTCCTGTCAAGGGCATGTACCTTGGTTGCAGGCTTCTCCCGGGGCTAGCTCGTGCAGGAGGCAACCAATGGATGTGTTTCTCTCCCATTGATGGTTTTCTCTCTGTCTTTCCCTTTCTCTTTCACTCTCCCTAAAAATCAATGGAAATATATCCTCGGGTGAGGATTAACAAAAAAAGAAAAGAAAAGAAATGAACATTGGTGCAGTATTACTAACCAAACTATGAACTTTAATCAGATTTCGCCAGTTCTCTCACGAGCGACCCTTTTCTGTCCCACATCCCACCCGGGACTGCGTTATTAGCCATGTCTCCTGATCTCTTTCGCTCTGTGCCAGTTCATGATTTTCTCTCATCATTGATGCTTCTATCTCTCTCTCCCTCTCCCTTCCTCTCTGAAATCAATTAAAAAAATATCTAAAAAAAGAAAGAAAGAATACAGAGAGAGCTCACATACCTTTGCTCAGTTTCTCATAATGCAGAACACCTGCTCCCCCTGGCCGCTGGCCGCCAGCCCACTCCCCAGAAATCAACCTTGTGACTGTTGGAGGCTTGTCCAACAGTCACAAGGTCACGCTCTCACCCTGCTTCCCTCCAGGCCTTTAGGCCAGCGTCCTAAGGTGCTTAACCTCCATTCTTTACACCTGCACACCCTCTAGTGGGGGTGCTTTGCCTACACAAAATGAGAACAAGGAGCCGGAGGGGCAGGCAGCAGGCGTGTGCCTAAGTCAGCATCTAAATTCTTGGCTTCACCTGGTTCCCACCAGACCTTGACTGGGTAGGTTGGTCTTTCCCACCCCAGGGCTGAGAGGGAACCTGGAACAATGCTACTGGCTAACAAAAAAAGAAAGGAAAGACACCAGATTTATTACAATAGCAACCCTGACAAGTCAAAGGCAGCCTTTTCATCTAGAGGTAATAATAACAACAACCTAGTAATACTAACTTTTTATGGGAGCTCTTATTAAGTGCCAGGCAGAGCTTTAAGTGCTTTATTCATATTAGTTAGTCTAATTCTCACAGCAACACTCCCCAGAAGTTCACTGCAGGACACAGTATGTACAGAGGTTAGCAGCTCAGACCACCTGGGTTTGCCATCCTGGCTCTGCCACCTACCAGTGCAGCTCTAGCCAGTTTGGGTGGGCAGAGGTTAGCAGCTTAGGAGACGACCTGGATTTGCCATCCTGGCCCTGCCACCTACCAGTGCAGCTCTAGCCAGTTTGGGTGGCCTTGGGTTTATGTAATATAACCTCTCATGACTCAGTTTTCTCTCTTGTAAAATGGGTGTGATGACAGGATCTCCCCCGGGGTGGCTGTGAGGATAGAAGGAGTTAGTGTGTGTCAAGAGTGCGTAGAGAATAAATGTGAGTGACTGATGGATGAGAAATTTGAACCCAGATCTTTGTGCTGTTGAGGCCTGGGGGCTTACCCATCACACAGACAGGAGGACAGACTCAGGGAAATTTCCATTACAGGACTGACCAGAGAACCGCTAAGGACTGTGGGGTCTGGACATGGGACAGAAGAGGAAGTGGGGCAGAAAAGGGCTGGAAGTACTCAGAGGCAAGGCCTATCCGGCTATCTCCTCAGGTCTTACCTTCCGCTAATGCCCTCAAATTTAGTCTTTGGACATTATTATGAAAGAGGTTACAACCAGTCAAGACACACCAATAGGCTTGAGAAAAAAAAAGATGTTCATTTGTACAGCTGAATTTACAAAATGCAAATATCGACAATATTCTAGAAGCCATTTTTTAAGACCTACCTACAGCATCTGACCTAGTTATACTCCTCCTGGCAACCCTCTCTTCCCGTGGCCTCCAGGACACCATACTCGCTTGGTCCTTCTTCATCAATGGCGGCTGCTTCTCGGTCTCCTCTGTTGGTTCTGAGAATGAAGAAGGAGCCACATAGTAGACCCGACAAGAGCAGGCAGACACATGGCAGGTTGACAAGCTCAGTGATGGAAGGTCACCACACAGGATGGTCTGATCGTAAGTTCCTAATGGGCAGGCCACGGTGAGGAGCCACATCCCAGGCTCACAGCTTCTTTAGCAAAAGTCAGTCTTAACCTTGAGCCCTATGGATTGTTCTTAGGCGTCTAGGATAAAGTGCCTTTGAAACATTAGAGTAATTCTCTTTCCCGGACCCCTCAGAGTCACAACTGCAGCACCAGGGCAGAGACCACAAAACTCCTCATTGTTAGCTTGTTGGCCACAGAGCACCTCTACAGTACTGTGAAGGTTAAATGTTAACTCTCCGGCACCCAGCTATGTAAAAGAAGTACAGTGGGGCCTTGACTTACGAGTTTAACTCAAATTACTCTATCAACTCAATGCAAAAAATCAGCCGAGAGACAGCTGGTATCTCAAAAAACTCGTTAGTCGGGACACTCGTAAGTCAAGGCCCCACTGTATGTGTTTCTGCATTTTGCATTTAATACAATCCTAGAGATGTCCTCACTTTGCTTTTTTCCTGCCTCTTTAATTGACCAACGATGGATTTCATGTTACCTTCCTTAAGTTTATCTCCTTTGATTCTAAAATGTATAAAATGAACTGCAATAAATAAATAAATAAATAAATAAATAAAACGAAAAAATAAAATAAAATGAACTGCAAAACTGCCATAGCAGCTAGAAGGAGAAGCCCCGCGGGTGCGCTGGCCACTGTAGACAGGTTAGTAATGGAAGATAAGGAGGATAAATTCCAGCAGCAAAACACGTGACTCCATTAAGTTCAGGCTCTGCCTCGGGAGAGGCTCCACTGCGCAGCCGCAGGAGCTGGGCGGGGCCTGCGCAGCCGCAGGAGCAGCTGGTCGGGTCTGCGCAACTGCGGAGTAGCTGGCAGCCAGGGGGTGGGGGCA